TGATCGCAGCAGAGTAGAGTTGCATAAAACCAATGGGAGGATAGTCCCGGTTGATCAAAGGTTTTTGCTCACGCCTTCGTTTGGAAAATGATGGCTCGATTTACAATGCAGCTGAGGCCACGTGATATGAAACCCTTATGGAACGCCCAACAAAGCAAAGCATGTATTGATTTTACCCACAAATTCAAGTCGCGTCGCTTGTCCATTTGGCAACGGGTTTATCTCACCGTTGGTCAATGAGTAATTTATCATGCGGTGAAAGCTGATCTACTAAGCCAGTTTTCTGATGAATTTCATTTTGCCTTTCAATAGAAGTAAACATTCATCCCGTCTGACGAGTGAGAACGGAATTAAATACAGTGCCCTGTTACTGGTCTTCTGCACGCACCAATCTGGATATCACAGAATGTCTTGCATTGCTAATGGAGGGTATCAGTAACTGCCACTCTCCAAACGCATTTGCGGAAGTTATACTTTTCACAGATCTCTTCTCGTCTGAGGTTTGTAGTAGAAATCCGTTAGACCTAGTTGAATGTTACTTTTTCACACTTATGCAGTCCCTGGAGAGTCCAAGTTCAATATCAAATACGTTCAATTACCGCGTAGCAGCTGGGGTTTTAATTTAATCGAAAACTTTTGTCTGTATCAGAAACGGATAAGTTGGCTACGTCGACATTGGTTGTCAGTGGTAAAGGTGTGCGATGTATTAGAGGAAACTTGCAAATTCTGCTTGGCCGTGAACTTGGTGAACGAAATGTCAAAGCGATTACCTGCAGTGCTCAAAAAGGAAGAAAAGCAAATGGAACATGGACGAGATGAAAATAGAATTCCTGTATGAAGTCTATGAGTCATTGTAATAAATAAACTCTAGTTGCGTTTTGTTCTGTGATTTTGTTACTTTACATCTGATGCACAACCAACCATCGTCAAAATCGCGAAATTGTAAATTTTAATGACATTTGGCTAATAGAAATAAAGGCATAAGTAGACATTGTATCAGATATGTTGCCCCTGATGTGGGGCAATGTCATATTCAAACCCGTGAATGGGACTGGAAAAACGAAACATTGAGAGGAACACATGTGATGGAAATCAGGATGTTGCACGAGTTTGGTCAATACCTATGAGCTTTAGTGCATGATATGGAAATCCACTTTAAGGTCCAGAAAACAAAAAAAAGAATTAAGCTGAATGAAAAAGAAATAGTCTGTCACCAAGTTCATAACACTGCCATTGGGCACACCATTGGTGAAAAACTAGCGTGACACAGTTTTAGTGTGTATACAACCATAAACCACGCGCTTTCGTGCGCCGGTTTGAGTTGCAGTTTTTTGGCTGTTCATTTGCACAAACAGTAGAAGGAAAGGAAGGTTGAAAGTAGAGTCGAAGAGAAAAAAAACTCCGAAAACAATGGCTGCAAAGAAATGGAGAACATACACGAACGCCACTGCTTACTACACTCAGTGTCTCTAAACTTCGGTTAAGATCATCACGGGGTTCCCAACCAGGGAGCCTGAAGCGACCTATGTGACCCAGTTCCCTGATTGGAACACCGCCATACATACACACGGCAAACCACCGTCGTGTTTTTAGACACCAGAGCGGCCTTCGACTCTATCGATCGGACCGTACTGTGGAACTGTTAGCGAAGATACGGAGTACCCGAGAAGTACGTATCACTCTTAAAAGCGCTCTATCACCACCTTCGGGAAAAGTTAGAGCTCATGGTGAACTTTCACCCACATTTCCTGTCACCAGTGGGGTGCGAAGGGGTTGCCCTATCTCTCCGTTTCTCTTCAATTTTGCAAGAGATGATGTTTTACAAAACACGCTACATAACATCACGTGTCGAGCTTCTTCCCAGAGACAGAGTCGTAGTCTTAGAGTATGCCGATGATATTGCCTTACTCGGTGATAACCCTCCAACGATTCAAGAGTCATTCAATCGCTTGGAAATTGAGGGTACTCGCTATGTTATGTCCGTAAGCCCGGACTCTGCTTTTTTTTCTTTTTCATTTTTAATTCCTTTTATTGAATACAAAATGATACAATTTTCAGGAAGGGGGAAGCGGCCAATCAAAGGGCTGCCATACAACACACAAATGAGGAAGGTCTTCGGCTATTAGTATGAAGGGATTGTAATATTGAAAAAAACTTCACGGGCACACCTTTCAGAGAAAGGCAGCGCCAGAGTTTAGAGTGGTCGACTGAGTCGAAAGCCGCTTTCAGATCGAGGAAGACAGAGATGGTGGGTCCACCAAAGGAATGTCGGTGCTCCAGAATTTGCCAAAGAGTGAAAATGTGGTCGATACAACCTCGACCAGGCCTAAAGCCAGCCTGGTTCTCACGTGTGCACCGTTCACGTGCAGCAGACAATCGATGGAGTATGATCCAAGGGAGAAGTTAAGAGACCATGTTGATTAAACTAATTTCTCTTTCGTTTGCACAAGAGGATCTATCACCTTTCATGTAAATCGGTATGATGACCGATTCAAACCATTCAGTTGGAACCATTTGTTTCTCCCACCCTCAGCCCAGGAATTTCCTTAACTCCGAAACCAAGGTTGAACCTCCATCCTTAAAAACCGATGGGGACAGCCCGTCTGGGCCGGGGGCCTTATGCCTTTTAAGATAGACTATTTCCCGGGAAATCTCCGTTTCAGATAGAGGACTGGCATCGACTGGCAGAAGTTGCGCAGTCGCGGTGGAGAGTGACAGTTCAGATGTCGATGGGGGCCAGTTGAACTGAGCCTTGAAATGTTCAACCCATCGATCAGGTCGGCGTTGCCGATCGTGAATCAGTGTGCCATTGGATTTCTTAATTACCTCACTTACGCCTACTTTCTTGGGGCTTGTATTCCTAATTAGACGGAAAAGATGCAGACCATTACCAATGACCGCAGTCTTCTCCATCACTCTACACTTTCCTATCCACCACTTCTCGAGGTCATTTCTCAGACTCTTGATGAGCTGGCATTTGAGGGATTTGCGTGCTGTGCCATATGCGGCATCAGGAGGGAAGGTTCTTCGAGCGTCCAGCAGGGCAGCCGAGGTCGACGAGATCCATCATTTGTGTTTTGAGCTTGCGCGAGGGACTGACGTTGTTTTTGTCGATGTGTGCATAGCTTCCTTGATTTGCTTCCAGTGCTCATCGAGTCCTTCGGCTGGTGAACTGAGAGGCGATCGGTGAGTTCCGCTTCGAAGGCCGATTTGTAGCAATCACCGACGTTGTACCGTGGGTATCCGTTGTCGGTGGCTTTCTTGCGGTTGTTTCCCAGGTGTAAGGAGAATTCGGCTCGTAGCAAAGCATGATCTGTATCTAAAGGTGTGGACCAGTAAGACTGGTAGTCTTGAATCGATCCTCTCCAGCGGTAACCGATGGCGATGTGGTCAATCTGGGTCCAGTGCAGTGAAGAGATTGGTGGTTTTCATGGAAGGTGGTGTCGTTTCCCTTGCGAGAAGTTCATGTTTGACAGAAACAATCCGTGGTCTGCGCAGAGTTTAAGTAGGCGATCTCCGTTGTCCGTCTGGTTGGCTGGGATTGCATACGGTCCGCCAAGAAACCTTTCTAATTCGTCCAGGGGTCCCACTTGAGCATTGAGTCTCCAGCGACTATCACGATGTCTGTTGACCAAGCACTTTGGAGCAGTTGGGAGAGATCCTTGTAGAATTCATCCTTTATTTCAGGTGCACTGCAATCGGTCGGTGCATACACCGATACGACGAATGAACACCGACGCCTCGTTCTGTAGCTGTTGACCCGTGCTGAGCCGTTGAGACGTACAGTGCATAGTCGGCTACTGACGAATCCAGTCAAGAAGCGAGCGCTCAGTCTTGGCACTCAGCGCAATCCCAACATCAGCAACAACTCAATTCCACTCAAAATTCTGACTCAGAAGGCAGTGAGGCGTAAATACAACGCGGGAAAGTGAACGAAGCATCTGTGTGGGAACTTCTAGAGACCTGTCCTGCAAGGCCTTTGAAGTTCGATTAATTGTGTTGTTCGCTGGTGCGTTGATTATCGCTCCGCTTTTCGGGATCGGTTCTTAGTCTCATGCACCCAATGAGACAGGAGGAATGTGGACAGGACAGCACCTTATTGGCTGGGGGCTGCTTAGCTTGGACGTGCGGTAGCTGTCCAATGAAGTGCGAAGGCTTCTCCCACCGTCGAGAGGAAGCCCCAGGTACCCCACTCCTACGTCCATCTAGCGGGGGGGAGGTTTTGACCGGTAAATTGCCCCTCACTGTGTTTATTTGCTGTGGTGGCCTCTCCAGGGACGGGTATGGATAGACGAAGGAAGCCAGGTTCCCAAGCCGCTGGCTTTGTGAGACTGAGCTTCATCTGGTCTCTACCCGTTGATCTTCCGAGCATGATTGGATCTACGGCGGTGAAAAGCCACCCTGTGTAGCTTGCAGGGTCATGGAAGCACGCTAGCTATCACACAACGTCAAGGTGCTGTCTCGTGGTGATAGGAATGATTGACCGCGGCAACAGGATTGTCGTGGTTCCATGACTGAGATAAATGAAGAGGAAGGAACATGTTCAAACTAAAATCCACAACCAACCGTACGGTCAGGCTTACCTGGCATACTCTTCGGGAGGAAAGAAACCTTGCAAGTATTCACTTCAAACGTTCGGTGATACACTCAGACTTGACTAGTTCAATCCTAAATAGATTAAATAACGTCAAAATCAATTGGTTTTAAACAACTCATCGTACACCAGAGGCTGTATTTGAGTAGCATGGTACAAATATGACCGATGTTCGGGATAAGATCTTTTGAGCAACCGGTTAAAATTGCGTGACGTATAAAAGCAAGGGTTCATGGTGGCATTGATGCAATGCATTGCTGAGTTACGCAAAAGAAACACATGATTGACAATAAACGAAACAAGCAGGACTAAGTTCCTGTGTGGATGAAAACGATAGAATAGAATCTGTAAATAAATGGTTTGCGGTTGAAAAGGAAATGGAAAGCACATGGTGTGAAAGATTAAATTAATANTAATAAATTATAAAATCTTCTCGTCCTGTGAAAGCAACAGCAAAGTCTGCTCCACTGGCAGTTGGTTCTGCGAAAGCCACTTGAGATCTCAGCAACACACGGCCATAAATCAGATTTGACAAAACACATGTTAACAATCGAGTGGCTACGCCTTTCCGTCGATATTTGGCAGATACCCATAGCCTGCGAACTCCACACAAAGGGAGCGGAAGTGTGTGCTGTTCTGGAGCGGATAGAGGTATGTTGGCAGGTTTGGGGCATTCAACTTTCTCTTGAGATAGGAGGCGCCAAGATAAAAGCGCCTCGCGACCGCCAGACAGACGACGAACGCTGTAACCCTGACTAGTGATAAAGGTCGTCGTAAGAACTTCAACCACACAGCATCCGACCACAAGCTGACTTCCATCCAATACATAGGCAAAAACACGCCAATGGCTAGGCACGGGTGAGTTGGCAAACGAAGGATCCTTCAAGGAAACAGCTTGTGGGTTGTCGTAGCCCAAATCACGTGCCATCACTGCAGAGATACGGGAGAAATAAGTTGTGCCGGAACGATCATTCATATTGAGCTCTACGATACGCGATCCATCAAAGTTCTCCAAGAGAATCCGCTGATGCTTTCCCCGTGGTAGCTTGAAATAAGAGAAAGCACGGTCCAATAAAATTGTGACTGCGTATGAGCTATTAATGTGAACACATAAGAAGCATCATACGGTGGTTTTTCGAACTTGGAGTTCACACAAAATGCGAAACAACCAGTGCGCAAGTGCAAATTATACGTGAGTATCGCACAACTCATTGGATTCTAATTATCAATGACAATGCAACGGAATTTGAATACTAAAATGCATGTGAATATATCAATTGCAGCAGAAAACACTCGACCAGCCAAGAAAGCAGGCTTGGGTTCACTAAACAGGCAGATCAGCGGAAGTGGGGTTTCACTTAGCAAGTGTTCTCCATCTATGTATGACGCAACGAATGTGACCAGCCACTAAAAAGATCATATATCTTCTGATTAAGGCCTCGAACAGAATGTGAGTAAAAGAAACTACTGGCGACTGGTTTGTCTATACATTCTGATGATTGCAGATTAGACTTGGATGAGCAAAGGCTACCGATGCGATCTCAAGTGAAAAGGGTCGATATGTGCTGAATAAACCGTTGATGCCAATTTGTATGGGCCAGCATGGTCGGCGGAGCTGAATTATTCTTTATTAGGAGATATCCATGCGAAAGTAGAAGCCATCCAGAATTGGTCTGACCAATACTCGACCTCGGGTTTTTACGGTACCCAGTTCACGAAACAATCTACGATATAACTCAACTGCTTGGTTGATGGGCTTAGTACTTTAATGGACAACTAAGCAGAACTAATGCTGGATCAACTAGTCGGCGTTAGCGGCGAAAAAGTGCAACATTCCAATTAAACCACAAGCGTGACCTCCCATTCAAGCTCTGACGACAGAAAAAGTAGTCGGACAACCGGCTAAATTCCAACTAGTTTTCGCTGGTACTGATGTACCTTGCCTTTGAACTGGTTTCTTCCCTTTCAGTGAAATTGCTTGCGCAATTGTATTCATTACAGATAAACAAAACTTTCCTCTATTTTCTCCTTTTTATTTGAAAAGAGAGAAAAGTTCTTTAGTGACTTCGAGTATACCATCGACAAGCTTGTTTCACTTAAGGCGAGGACCCGTTTAGTGAGTCACCTGGAAAAGAATGTCTATTGAATGCCTATTGAGATTGTTGTACTCATGCATCTGGCTGAGTGCGGACAAATGGCGATCTAAATACTGCGTTTGAAACCAGAAACCGTGCATGTTAGGGTAGTCCTATTTCGCCATTACTGTTCAATTTTTTCTTGAGAACATTAAATGATGCCTTGAACGGACAGCTGTAGGAAAGCTATACGATGCGAAACATGTTCAAGACATTGTTTCTCCATTTAAAAATACAAGGGGCAAACGCAAAGCACACTTAGTCGGCTAGGTTCTATTGTTACTTTCAGTATGCAATTTGCAACTTCAACCTCAAAGACCGGTTGTCACCTGGTTCTGCTTTAAAGCTCAAATGTAAGGAATGGACTATTGAATGTTTTTCGTGAAGTGTTTGCGCGGTGAATAATAGGATCCACATAAAAGTTTCCGCATGGATATACAGAGCTCGGGCGACGTTTTATAAACTGAAATATCTCAGGCGTCGACATGAAGTAACGTCGAAGTTAAAAGGGCGAATAGATGATGTCACAGTGCGATCAGTTGCCCTTCAAGTTTATGCAACTCACGTTAGTATGTGAATGGATTGGACCTTGGCTGACAACATCTAGGTTCAGTTCGCTTATGCTTCACTTGATCTCTTCTTGAGTGTTTTCTGGAGTTCAATAAAAATTTGAGGAAACTGAAATATTTTGTTCTACATGACGTCATCGGGTTGCTTATCAAAGAGGTAAAGAGTAATAAGATAGCTCCATAACTATACAGCACACTGTTAGAGACGTTCCATCCTTCAAATTCCCGCGGAGAAGGTATTTTCATTTTCATGACAAACAGGAAAGTAGGAAACAGGTAAGATTGTTCGAATAGAACTTGACTACTGACAACAGTCAATAGTAACAATGAAACAATTAAACTTGCGCAGAATATTACTAAATCATGTTCGTTATAGCCTGGTCTAAGATGAGCTTAAATATAAAAACCATAAAAATAGTAATAAACCTGTAAATTGTGTACATTGTGAGAACGACTGACACACAGTAAACCAGTGAGTGAATGCATAACCATCGGCATACATAGAAAACGCAAATAATTAGGTGGGTCTATGTTCATGTTCACAGCGAAATACAGCGAAGCGAACTTCATTAATCACTACCAAACTCGTGACCTACACAAGGCTAGTGGTTATATGTAAGGTGGACGGGGATTGGGCCTACATTCAGAGAGGGAGAAAGAAGATGAACCTCTATGGTCAACATACAGAGTAAACAATCGAGACGAAGACGAGATTGCACACTGACGTGGTGTGATGGCTTGTGCGATCTCTGACCCAACGAGCTACACAGGATGGCTTTCGTAAAGCCAGGTCTCATCGTGCTTGCAAGGTCGAAGGGTAGAGGTCAGACGAACTCCCGTCTCCTGACCCTGCAAGTTGGGGATTAGACCAGAACATTCACCATCGTGCAGCGAAATACAGTGAAGTGAACTTCACTGATCGCTGTCAAACTCGCAATGCATAGAAAGTTAGTGGTAAAACTTGATGTGGTCAGGGATTGAACCTACTTTGAGGGAGGAGGAAGGTAAACCTCTATAGTCTCCATACACAATCAGAGTATTGATTCTTTTAGGCTTATTTATCGCAAAATCAACTGTCCGAGTGGCAAATGACATTTGCATTGATTATTTTATGCCTTATTCCTCAATGTTTCAGTTAATTGTGAATAGTCACGGCTGCAGTGAAGAGCATGCGATGAGATAAAGTGGAGGGGACAAGAGGCGCTTGAAATGGAAAAGTAAACTAGCACTATGGTGGAATCTCTACGTCGATCTGGGTAACCGGGTAGTATCACGCCCACAATCTAATCCTCGACTTAAGAACTTACATAACCACACGTCTCAGAATCTTACACATGCTAAGCTCTCTCTTTAACTCTGCACGCAACACTTCCACCCACTCTTCACACAATACCCTCACTTTTCCACTGTAGGCCTCACCTCGAACGGTTCCACTGACGTACTCGGCATTGCCTTGTCATTCAGAGCCGACCGTTCCATTCCTCCGACCTCACTTTGCGTTTACAAAGGCTTCGTTCAACGTTAGCGTATAGGACAAGCAGGTTTGGCTCGTACGCTCGAAAGTCTCGAGATTCATGTGCTACCTCTCGGAAGCACGCATTCAAGATCGGAGCTCAGTGACCGATTAACGTCACCTTTCAAACCAGAAGAAGCGTTTCAACTGTGCGTTTCAAGGGACTTATCGCATCAACGACTGGTCAAACAGGCGTTGGGTTGTCCTTAAGCACCAGGGCCGAGGCTGATCTATTGGACTGGATCTCGATAGATAGCCGACTATGCGCAGTGAGAATCACAGGCTCAAGTCAAGTCCAAAAGCAGAAACCAAATGAATGATGCTTATTCGTGGTTTCCGCATACGATCCCACAGACTGTAGCCCGGATACAGTCAAGGACGCCTGCTATCACAAACTACATGAGCTTCTTCTCAAAGTACCTAAGACGGATAGTGTAATCCTGGCCGGAGACCTAAACGCACGCGTTGGTCGTCTGTTATCCGATGAGAACCACCTTGGTGGCCATCATGGACTTGATAGCTATCGTCCAGATAGTGGGGATAGACTTTTTAGCATATGCTCAGAACACAATCTGCTCCTCGTTAGCATGACCGTCACACACTCAAAGCGTCATCTCGTCACTCGGTGTAATCCCTATTCGGCACAGATATGGAGTTAGATTGATTAGATATATATTAGCAACAGATGGAAACGATGTGTGAAAGACTGGCGTTCGTATTGGTCTATCTGCTTGGACTCCGACCGCGCACTGGCTTGTGCCAAGTTGTCTATGCGATTTGGTGGCCGCAGAAAGATGCGATGCAAACAGCTTGACCGTACCAAGCTTTCGGACAACGCCGTGCTAATCGATTACCAACACCAGTTGGCTAACTACGAACCGAGCAAGAAGCATAGATCAACAATGGACAACTATTCGAAACCCACTCACCTAGATTGTCTAACAATCATCATCATCGTACATTGAGATACAGTGGAGCAAACTTCACGCATTGCTGCCAAGCTCACAATGTACACAAATCAAGTGATGAAGCACAAGATGGGTAGGGATTGGCTCTAATTGCAGAGCGGAAAAGAGAGCGAACCTCTATGATCAACAAACAGAGTACACAATCTAAGTGTGCCAGCATTCTGACCTGGTAAGAAATGACAACAAGAACGCCACTGCTGTCGGTTAGTTGCCATATCCTTCAGTCTCCAACCAACCAGTTACAGAGTCTTTTGGACCCCAACCTGGAAGACGGGAGACACCGATTGTACCTAATCGCTCTGTGTATTTCTTCTTGCCTCGTTTCCACGTCATCTGTTGACCTCCACTCGGTTTCTTCCAACCTGGAGCCGCAACTGCGAATAAGACGCGGTGTGGTAGACGCTGACTGAGCATGCGCAATACGTGTCCTAGCCAGCGAAGCCGAGTACTCTTGGGTTCGACGAGACAATGAATTCTCCATCGAATCACAACCAAATACGCGACGACTTAAATCAGAGCTGCTTATACGCTCGCTCTATCCAACCCGTGCTAAACTACGTAAACACATGCAGTCGAAGACTTCTAGACGACGAATATCTTCCACGAGCAAATTTAGGGTCTCACAACCATAGAGCAGAACTGACCACACACTGGCGCACTATACACGACCTCTCAGTTTCAACGAAACATCGCATCTACGCCAAAAGTGTTTCAGTCCTGCGTACGCTGCGCGAGCTTTGGGAATGAGGGTGGTTACTTGACTATGCTACCGTCATTTGTCACGCAGCTAC